TTCCCTCCAAACAACTGCGAGGCTTTGTTCTTCAAAACATCGCTCTCTTTCACCAGCGGCCCTGCAGCGACTTGCCTATCCTGTATCAAATACGCTTTGGATCACTTTTGCGATCGCATATCCACCTCACTGCGCACGTGCGCGACATGGCCGCATCGGCCGCGTCTGGCTGATAGACCCACCGAACAACAACTCGTGGGCTGTCCCTCTTCGGCTTCCTCTCTCGTTCTTCGACCACTCGGCCTTGAACACGCCCGCGTTGGACGTCGACTTCATATCACAGCCTCCGCTCCTCCCCTATTGATACCCGGCATCGGCGTGCTCGCCGTTCGCCACGACTCGCCGTCATGCTCTCTGCATTCACCGCCCGCCCAATTGTCGAGCTGAAGGCGCGCAACAAAGCCAAGATCGACTCGCTCGTCGCGTACGGTGACCGGCTATTGGTCGGTCTAAACACTGGCGTCCTGCGCATATACCGCGTCAACGAGCAGTCGGGCGCACCAGCGGACGCACTGCCAGTGGGAGGCGCGGCAGGTGGCGGCGACGCCAATCACAACACAAACAACAATGCTCCTTTTGCAGCTGCGAATACGTCCCCCACAACCGCCAACGAGCCTACCCACCTCCTGCGCGAACTCGAAAAGTTCTCTCCTCGTGCCATTGAGCAGCTCGCCATTATCAAGGAGGCCAACACCCTTATATCACTCTCCAACTACGCCGTCTCGCTCCACGACCTCCAGACGTTCACGCCTCTGCCAGGTGCCGCGCCGCTGCCCGGAACCAAAAATGCCTCGGCTTTTGCTGTCACGAGCAACATCATAAAGGACCCGGCAACGGGTATCCCGGAAATCGTCTCGCGGTTGGCTGTTGCTGTTAAGCGGCGTCTGCTGCTTTGGAGCTGGTATGCGAGCGAGCTCAGCGGAAGCGGTGTCGGCGTCAGTGGCGGGGGAGCCCAGGACGGGATCGTGTCTGCCGACGGAGGTGGCGATTCTATGGCGCCTGCAGAAATCACCCTCTCGGAGACCATCCGGTCCCTCACGTGGGCGAGTGCTACGAAGCTGGTTGTTGGAATGAACGCCGGGTACGTGCTCGTCGATGTGGTGAGCCGAAACGTCGAGGAGATTGTCGGCAACACACCCTCTGGGGCCAATGGAGGCAGCGGCGGCGACTCTGGTGGTGTCTCGGCGGTTAGCCGATTTGGCGCACTCGGCAGCGCCAGCATGGGCTATATGGGCCTTGGCAACTACATGCCCAAACCTCTGGCCGCGAAGCTAGCGGACGGTGAGATGCTCCTGGCCAAAGACGTACACACGCTGTTCATCACAGATTCTGGCAAGCCTGTCGATCGGAGAGGAATACCCTGGCCAGTGGCACCGGAGAGCGTTGGCTACAGCTATCCGTACATTCTCGCACTCCAGCCACCAACCAAGGGTTCGCTCGAGGTGCGCAACCCGAGCACACTCAGCCTCCTACAGACAATCGCCGTGCCAAATGCCACACAATTGCATGTGCCACCACCTTCTGTCAGTCTCGCCCATGCAGGCAAGGGCTTCCACGTATCCTCGGAGCGTGGGATTTGGAAAATGGACGCAACGGGGTACGATAGCCAGATCGATGCGCTTGTGGCGCAAGGCCACCTTGACGAGGCTATCAGCCTGCTGGGCTTGCTTGAAGATGCGTTGTTGCGCAACAAGTCAAAGACGTTACGCGACATCAAGATGCAAAAGGCAGAAAAGCTATTCCGCCAGAAAAAATACCTTGCCGCAATGGATTTGTTTAACGAGGAAGACGTACATGCGCCACCTGAACGGGTGTTTCGGTTCTTCCCGCGGTCCATCGTTGGTGACATGTCCGACGATAAGACTGCCGTGGTCAACGAGACCGACGCAGATGAAGACGGCGAAGGGGGCAATAACGGCCCAGCAAAGAACGGCACAGTGAAAGAGGACGATGCCGACGACACTAACACTGCCCCTCCCAACAGTGATAGCAACCACCAGACGAACGGCAAAACAGGCCACACGGACGCGAGTACGTCGGCACCGCAGCCTGAAGCATCCTCTTCGCTGCCACTAGGTGGTGGTTTCACGAAGGCGTTCTGGGGATCCCTGAAAGTCAACTCCGAAACAGCTTCTGTAGCTTCGGCACCCAAAGGAAGCACAGACTCGGACGGCGCAAGTGTCAAGGGAAAGCAGGCAGTGCCGGGATCAGACGAAGCTGAAACGCAGCCACCAGTTGTCCATGCCAACGGATACGTTCCACTCGAAGGCAAGGAGCTCATCAGTGCCGCCGAAGCCTTGAACAGCTACCTTGCCGGCACGCGTGCCCGACTGCAGCGAGTTATTGATCCGGCCACGGGCAAGCTCAAGAAGCCGCGGGGCACGGAAAATCGGCGAGAGGGCTCTGCCCCGCCGCAATACGACAGCGACTGGGGAGCCGACGTGGACGATGACACGGCCCGTGAATCTCGACTCCGTACCATATTTACGCTTGTTGACACGACCATGTTCCGCGTATTGATGCTGATCCGGCCCAAGTTGGCCAGCTCTCTGTTCCGCATTCCCAATTTTTGTGACCCGGATGTTGTCAATGAGCGGTTGCTGGAAAACAACCGCTTCAACGAGCTCGTCGACTTCTTTTACGGAAAACGGCTGCACCGGCCAGCTCTCGAGCTGCTCAAGCGGTTTGGCGATGTTGGCGGCCAGACCGATGAAGACAAGAAGGTGTATGGCGAGAATGTGAAGACGTCGGCGTCGGGTGACGCGTCTGATGCGACCGTGTCTGTGCCTCCCACCTTACGAGGGCCACAGCGCACCATCGCATACCTGCAGAGCCTGCCGCCTGCGATGATTGATCTGATCCTTGAGTTTTCCGCGTGGACACTGCGGGCCGACCCGGTGCACGGCATGGACGTGTTCTTAGCGGACTCGGAAAACGCCGAGACATTGCCACGCGACCGTGTAGTGCGATTCCTTGCGGGAATCGATGCGCGGCTCGAGCTGCGATACCTGGAGCACATCATCAGTGAGCTCAACGACCTGACGCCCGATTTTCATAACAGGCTGATCGAGCAGTGGATCAAATTGCTCAAAGACAGTGAAGAAAGAGCGGAGACGAACCAGGGGAAGAACAGCGCGAAGGAAGACCCATCGGACAGTGACATGGATGGTGAAGGCAGCAAAGAGGAAACGTGGGAGGAAAGCATGGCGCGGCTCGTTGTGTTCCTCAAAGAGAGCAAGCAGTACAGTCTATTGCGGGCGTTTGGCCTGATACCCCGAGATGGTGAGTTGATGCCCGAATACCTCGCAATAACCGTCTCTGTGGCCTACTTCTTTACTGACATTCCCTAGACGCGGCATTCTACGAAGCCCAGGCGACAGTGCTGAGCAACATGGACCAGCACAAGCAAGCACTCGAAATCTATGTCTTCAAAATGAAAGACTTTGCAAAGGCGGAAGAGTACGTTTTTCGTTGATTCTCGCCGTGGCGATTGATTCAAGCTGGGCTCTGAACTAACATAATCAGATACTGCAATCAAGTCCACAAGGCACAAGAGCTAGCGCAACCGGTGCCGATGTCCTCCCCTGGTCCTCTGCTCCTGTCTTCCAACAACAACCAGTCACGGCGCGTGTCCGCGTCAAAGGGAGACGACGCAAACGACGGTGTGTCTGGCGACAATCAAGACAAGGCAGCGGCACCGTCGATTTACCACACTCTGCTGTCGCTGTACCTTACGCCGCCACCACAACAGCAGCGGCAACTGGCACCGGCACTCGACCTCCTGTCCCGGCATGGCTCGCGGCTCCCAGCCTCATCGACTCTACAGCTCATCCCGGACAGCCTGCCCGTGGCAGAGCTAGCTTCGTACTTCCGAGGCCGCATGCGGGCGGCCAACAGCGTCGTCAACGAAGGCCGGATCGAAAAGGGTCTGCGGCAGACGGCCGTGCTGGCAGCACAGGCGAGCTTATTGCTCGGTCGGGACGACTATGCCACGGGCGGGGTGGGTGGGCAGGTGGCACCCGGTGGACGCAACCGTCGCGTGGCCATCAGCGAAGAGCGTGCGTGCGGTGTCTGCCACAAGCGGATTGGCGGCAGCGTGGTGGCCGTGTTGCCCGACAACACAGTGGTGCACTACGGCTGCCTGAACCGGGCGGGACAGAACAGCAGCCATCGGACGCCGTCGTGGCGTTGATCGAGTGCCTGTGTCGCGATGGTGATAGTCTTGCCGTACAAATGTATGTATACGTACGTGGTTGCGCGTGTATGTGGCGGCGTGTAGATGTATATATCAATATAAATGACGAGCCATTGGCATAAATGTTCGCCTTCCTTTTTTTTTTTTGGTTGTTAAATGCAGCAAAAACTATTCGTCCTCGTCCATGACCTCTTCGCCGTAGTTTTGCTCTTCCTTCTCGGCGGCCTGGTCGACGGCGGCCTGGTTGGCTGCCTGCGCGTCAATGACCATGCGCGCAGTCAGTTCACGGTTGACGTTGTCCTGGACGGCGGTGACGGCACCGCGGAGAGCCGCCAGGTACGCCGTCTTGTCCGCCGTGGACAAGGTCGGGCTTGCCGCAGGTGCCGCTGACAGCTCCTGGCTCGCGGTAAAGGACTTGTGGTCCGGCGCGCTGTAGGCAGCTTTGAGTACGGGATTCGGCATTGTGAGGTGCAGAGGTCGCGTGTGGTCTGAGGCCAAGGGGTGTGATTGTCTCGTACAAGTGATGCTTTGGCGTCTGAGAGAGCAAAGGTCAAAAGGCCAAAAGGCCAAAAGGCTCCAAGCTTTTCTAGTTCCTTTTGGGTCCTTTGGGTGCGGGGACCCTGTGCATATAGTGCATATTATATGCAAAGTACGCTATTGGCACATCTCCAAATATTTGTATTCGGCGCATTTGATGACCAGCCTATGGACACCAGTTTCGCCTTGGTGCTCCGACGTCCTAGTAGACCGATTTGCATACGCACGCCTGCGCTCGGTTTATACGAGACAACTTCTGCCTCCAACAATGTCGGCAGCCTTGCAACAGGCCATTGTCCGTGCAGGGCCCCAGTCGGGCCGCCTGGCGGCACGGTCGACACTCTGCCCAGCTCTGCGCCCGGCCCAGCTCCGGCCGACCGCGCGGACAGTGCGGACAGTGCCCACAGCTCTGGCACTCCGCCGTGCTTCGACATACCGGAACCCCAATGACTCGAGTCTCGATGACGACGATGTGCGGCCGCCTCTGGCGCAGCAAAAGTACAAGAACAAAAAGGTCTGGCCGCCCGACTTTACGCGGCTGTCGCCGCAGGAGCAGCTGCGGTTTGAGAAGCGGTTCAAGCGGCGGGTGGCACTGGCCTCGGCACGGCCTCGCTGGGTCAAGTTTATCAAGCTGGCGCAGCTGTTCAGCGTGACCTGTACGTCGTCTGGTGGGAAGACGGAGCGTCACCGTGTCGTATGTCAGCTAACATGTGTCAAGTCGTAGTCATCTATTGCGTCCTATTCATGGAGTGGGAGTACGGCCCTCAGCCGTTCGCCGGGGTATGTTCTATTCTTCTTTACATCTGGGATAGGATTCCCTTTCCTCTCAATTCGACACTCCAGACCGGACATTGCTGTCCCTTGCTTGACGTGTCCAGTTTCATTCCCATGCATACATGCATATCAAGCTAACCGATCCAATGCCAGGTGCGCGAGTGGTTCTGGAATACGCTGGGTCTGATGAAGGGCGGAGGGCAGAACAGTGCCGTCCGCAAGGCCGATGAGAGCGCACGGGGAAATGCAGCTGCTGGGAAGTGAACTGCGATTTCTTTCGTCTTCCTCCTCTTTCCCCTTTTGCATATCATAGTTCGTTGGCATTCTGGCGCTTTTTGTTTTCCTAGGCTCTCGCGGCGGTAATGTTTTGTGTTCGCTATTGGATCATATCCGGCTTCCCACTTCCCATCTCTTTGCATGAAACGGGGCGTGTCCAGCCCACCTGACTTCCGATCCTGTATGGCTGTATGTATTATAGTGACAATGACTTATTTGCGTCCCATTTCTGGTTCGCCCGACCTCACCGGCCGTGCCACACAAAGTTGCCGCCCATGCCGAGTGTTGCGCCAATCCCCGTGCCACTGCTGCCGTTGCTGGTCAGGCTGTTGCCGCTGTTGACAGGCCGCTTCGCGACGGCGCCCTGGGCGCGCACGCCCGCCACAATGCGGTCCAGATTTGTCTCGATGACGACGCCACCAATAATCATCTCGGCCAGGGTCGCGTGCATCGACTCAAAGTTGAAGATGAGGTCGAGCTCGCAGACGTTTTCAAACAGGCGGTCGAGCGACTCGACGTACACCTGGATGAGGTCGATGAGGGCGAGCGGCGACTCGGTGGCCGTGGAGATGACGATAAAGTACAGCGTGGCATAGTGGCGGTACGTGACGAGGGAGGGTGAGTCGGACGCTTCGCTGCCGCCGGTCGAGCCTGATGGCGGCGCCAGCAACGGCGGCAACGGCAGGAAATTGCACGATCCGGGTGGGCGGTTGGCAACGAGGGAGAAGATCTCGGATATCAGGCGCTGCTGTATGCTGGTGTCCTGAACAAGAGCAATCGGGGGAGCGAGGACAGCCGAGTTAGAACGGTACGGCAAACTCTGTCGGGCAACGTCGTGAAGCTTACCAGCTGTGTATAGAACTTGGTCAGGCGGGGTTGGCCTTGACCATTGAAGACCAGGAAAGCGTTGATCATGGTGCACGAAGCTGCGCCGTAGGAAACTGGCGCGCACAGGTAGAGCCTCGATGAATGGCGGCTCGGTGCATCAGGGATCGCGTATCGGGCTGTGGTCGAATGTCGTGTTTAGCAGGCGCGGGCAAGTTGAAATGCAGGTGTGACATGTCGCAATCGAGGGCAGGCGCGGGGCTCTCATACCGAAAAGTGCGCTGTGCCTGGAAAAAGTGGGTCTGTCAGCTAGGCTCACCCAGCAAGGTGCTTCCCATCAGTTTTGCTTTCATATCATGCAAAAGAGCTGCAAAAAAACGTACCACTTCTGAAAACCTCACGCGAGCTCGACAAACCACACCGCTCCGACGCTGAAACTCCTAGACACAAAATTGCGTCTCCCGCCTTGGACGCATGACTGCAACTTCAACTCCTCCTTCCTAGGCACGACACACAGAGATCTAGCAAAATGCCGCGTCCTGCACACTCGGCGTCGTCTCGAATCGTCCGTCGACTTGCCTCGGCGGCCCCAACGCCTGCCTCCACGCGGCCTCTCGTTTCCCACTGTGCTTGCAGACAGAGCCGACATGCGCCGTTGGCCTTGCTCTCGGTTGCCTCGCGGCGGTTCGTTTCGTCCACGTCGCCTGCTCCCATCCGCCCAACGGCCGTTCGTTTCGCACAACCGCCCCAGGCCGCAGCACCCTTCCTGTCCGCCTACACACCCCAGTCCGCCGCCGAGCCTGCCGGCATGACCGAGTCCGAGTACCATGCTCTTGCCGACGAGTACCTTGATCGCCTGCTTGTGCGCCTGGAGGACATGCAGGATGCCCGTGAAGATGTCGATGTGGAGTACGCTTCGGGGGTGCTGACGCTGTCCTTTTCGCCGAGCGAGCCTGGCGCACGTTCGCGGACATATGTGATCAACAAGCAGCCGCCCAACAAGCAAATCTGGCTGTCGTCGCCCATATCCGGGCCGAAGCGGTACGACTGGGTGCTCGATGCAGGGACCAGCGGGGACAGTACTAGCGGCCAGTGGATTTACCTCAAGGACGGCTCGGCGCTGAATGACCTGCTGCGAGATGAGATTGATCTGGACCTGGATGCCGAGTGGGAAGAGGCGTAACGGACAGATGAGGAGGCAGAGAACCGCAGTTCGCCGGATCGCTGTAATGAATATTGTATGATGTATACCAAGCTACTCAAATTAACTGGCCCCTTTGTTTTCGAAATTTGCATCCGAATTGTGATCTGGTGTTGCGTGATAGAACTGATGCAGTGTTCAAGACTGCCGTGAAAAGAGTAGAAGAAATATTATTTTCAAGAAAAGTTTAAAAAAATGGCCCGCTGAACAAATGCAAGTGAGGTATCTGATACTTTTATCCCATCCCATCCATAACACCCAATCCTGTTGCGTAACAAGCAAATATTAAAGCAAAATTGGAAAGAAAACCAAACAAAAAGTGATCCAGAAATAGTAACTTATTAGAAAAAGTGCTCCATTGCAAGAACGAGAAGCCCAAAAGGTGTTATTTATTGGCTGCTCCTGTTTGTACCGTCATCAAAGAGATTTACCACATTGCTTGGGAGGTACTCAAGCCACTGGGGCATCAACTCCGTCGGCAGTGTTAGGGAGCTAATGTCGATTTCCTGGCTGTCAAACGTGATGATGTCGGTAATAGGCCCCGCCTCGAGGTACGAGTACAGGCCACCGCCCATGAGGCCGCCTTGGCTGAGGTCAGGTTGGTACATCCCGCTGCCGTCAAGGGGACCAAGAGCGGTCGTCGTGCGAGGACTGTTCCCGCTCGCGCTCGCATTCGCCTGGTCAAAGTGTGCAAGCCCGTTGTTGGACGGGGACGTGCCTTGCAGGATGGCGCCCTCATAACCAGACGAATGGTGTGACGAGGGCGTGTTGTACGATTGCACAGGGGCAGGCAGAGGCTGCTGTGATTGATGCGATGCTTGGTGCAAGAAGTCTTGTTGGTGTATATGCTGATCCTGGCCATGCTGCTGTTGCTGGTGGTTGAATTGCTGCTGACTCGGTTGCAGCTGTTGCGGTACCTGGAACTGTGGTTGATGCTGCCCAGAATACACCATATTGCTACCAGCAGCATACAGTCCATGCGGTCCATTTTGCCCCGACCCTGGGCTAGGTGAGTCCAGATCGCCAAACTTGAACGCGCTGCGATCATGGCCTTGTTCCGCCAGTTGACTATCGGTGAATGTTGGGGGTACAGGATGTGTGGAGCTTTGCTGCTGGAATTGCTGCGTTTGTTGATGTGCAGACTGGTCCGTCGAGTACCGTAGAGCCGAAATGTTGGTTTGCGGGTAGGCTGGCGGATACATAGGCGGGGCCTCAGGAATACTCTGTCGGATCGGATCGTATATCATGTTTCCCGGTGGAGTGGCAGCGGAAGCAAGCTGAGGCGAATGGTAACGCTTTTGACTGCTCGACTGTCCAGCTTGTTGACTCTGCTGGGCTTGTTGAATTGCTTGTTTGCGTTGCTTTTGATTTTCTTTCGGCCGCGGTGTCGTGTCCTGGGCCTTGGAGCTGGAAGCGCCAGGTCCAGCAGCATTTGTGTGGCTCTGAAATAGCAAGGTCAAGCTAGGATTTGCAGAGTTCGATGTTCCTGTCAATGACCAAGCTATGGGTGGTGCATTTGGCGAGGAGGGATTGTCGAAGCGCGGCATCTGGCTAAAGGAGCCACGGCGGGCGGGCTGTTTTGTGCTCTCAAGCTCTTCAGTAGTGAATGTCTCGCAATCCCAGATGCCCTTGGACTTCTGATCCAGTGCCGTCAAAATATACCTTACGCCGCCCCAATAAAGGTGCAGTTGTTGTAGTGATTTGTAGCAACGTTGGTAATTCTGGTTCGCATTCGATGCAAGAAGCGAGTGCTTTGACGAGATTCCAGTCCGAGTGTCGCCACTAGAGTATCCAGCGCCTCGAGTTTGGGCATCCGCAACCGGTGGTGTAGTACCCCGAGACGCCGGTTGGGAGGCATTCGCAACGGATTCCATCAAAAAGGCACAAGCGGCAATGTACATTGGTTGTGACGTAAAGGGATTTCCTATGAAGCTCTTCGGGTCGATGAGCTCTGCAAACGCGAGGATATCGGCAATAGTTTTGGCGCTGGACATAGAGAGCTCGTGGCTATTCGGCAAGAGCTGGTGTGTGCGCTGAAGGCCTCCAAATGGAGCCAAGAGGGTAGGCTGATGTAGAATGATAATGAGAGTGTGGAACCAAAAATGGAGCAAGATAAACGTTGTGCCCTGTCCGGCGCGCACATACGCCTGGAAGTTGGACGCGTTGAAGTTGAGCCGCGGGTCTTGTCTCTGGTACAATTGCGTCAGGTCGTTTTCCATATGGCCGAGCCGTTGCATCTTTTCGTGTGTGAGATCGTCGGCACTATGGATGTTGTTCAAAACGTCGGACACGCGACCATATAGATGGATAATTTGTGCCAGAATGGGGAACGGTGCGGGCCAATCGGTAAGTGGATCTAAGGTGGGCTCAGGCAGTGCGAGCTCAAAATCGTCGTCTCGAAATGTGACGGGACGTCCCGTACCTGACGAGATGACGCGGTCCAAGAAGAAAACGGCCCAAAATGTATCGGCACGCTCTTGCTCTGCTGCATGTAGCTCTGCAGAAGCGTACACACTTTCGCCGTCGTGCATGGCATCGCTGTTGTGTGCCGGTTTCCTTCCAGAGTCAATATTGTACGTCGGTTCAACGTCGTCGCTGTCCTCGCTATCGTCGTTGTCGCCGCCTTTGCCGTTCCAGGTACGCATAAACCAAGGATCCTTTTCACCCTGTGGAGTGACGCCCACCTTCTTCTGAAGGCCCAAATCCACCGCCATGCGGATAGCGAGTCCCAGATACATCCATAACGCACTATCCTGGTCAGCACCGAAGCCTTCGTAGGCCATAAGGAGGCAGGCTTGGACAGCGGCCACAGAGGGGCAAGGGAAGGTGTCGACGGTGGCCGCCTTGGCGCGCTGTGCAAATACGTGGCCATATTCTGAGCGGGCCATTTGACCATCGGCGGTGGTTTGCCCAGCACCGTTACTGTTGCTGGCGCCACCACTGTCCGTATCAACGCCGTTCG